ATCCAATTGATCCTTCCATTTGCGCTGTGTTGAGGTAAACTGTGTTGTTATCTGTATGTGTCATTAGATCAATTTGCTTTAGCATAGCTATCCTGGCGTTTACTAAAGGTGCCCGCCGAGACGGGACGTCAACACTGATATTTGGCCCCAACTCGAAGGAGCAGTTCGCATCGTGGGTGACACGCACGTGCTTGGCCAACCGCGAGGAAATCGCGAGCATGGGTTTGTCGCTCGAGGACGTTGGAACACATTCTTTTCGGAAGGGTGCTTCGACAGCGCTGTCGAATACACCCGGTGGTCCACAATCTGTGTTGGTGTGGCTAAGTGCGGGTTGGAGCTTCGGCAGTGTTCAAAAGCGCTATATTTTTGCTGGAGCGGGTGGAGATCAACACGTCGGTCGTGCTGCTGCAGGTAATTTTGTTGAAGATATTGGGAAATGATATAGTTGCCATGACTCAGGTCTCAACATGAACAGCGTGGATTTTGCTGTGCTACCTCCTCATTTTGCTGGTGCTGTCCTTTCCCTCGAAGAATGGGAATCCGTCATGCCAGGGTACACAACGTTCTATCCTGCCTCATTTAGAGTGGCCCTCCCGTTTTTGCTGGCATCGATCGTGCACCATCGCACATGGCTCCAGCACACTCTCGACCAATCTCACCCTTTGTTTTGCTCCCTTCTGTGGACCTCGGGCCTCATGACCAAGCTGGTACCACTGGTTCATCTTGGATCAATGCAGAACTCGGCGACGTGCATTCCCCCCCATGTTTCGCTCAGTCAGCGGCTGGAAAGAGTTGAGAGTGGCCTCACGAGTATGACCGCCACCATCAACAGCTGTCTCTCCACGCTTCCGGAGGCATTGAGTTCCAGCGTCGCAGCAGCGTTGAGTTCGTCTCCACCTATTGCTTTGAATTGGTCCATGGTGGACGAGCGAATCACCCAAATGATGACAGCCATCCTCGCCGAGAACAAGCAGTGTCACACCGTTTGCGCATGTCCCAATGCTCCCGAAGACGTGGTTCCAGATCCTCCAGTGCCCGAGACTGGCTTTAGAATGTGGACATGGAATGGAAAAATTCACAATGTCCCGCCAGGTTTTGCATTTCCCAAGTGCAAAACATGCGACCTATGAAATTTGTGGTGGCTCGGCTTCCCAACTGAAGAAATTGGCCCCATGCGCACACTCAAGTCATGGGATTGCCCAGGTTGGGAGCAGGAAATTTGTCCAAAGCGCGTTGTGTCGTCAAGACACTAGTCTCCCACTCGCGTCTCGCCAATCAACGATTTGAATGCATGTCAGCGGCCGAGCTGAATCTAGCGTTCAAGCTTTGCTTCCTTCATTCGTGTGTGTGGTTGTACGGGGACATCACCGCCGATGAGTGGAGTCGCAGAAACGTCGACGAAATGAGCTACGTCACATTGTACGATGCAATCAAAGCACGACAAAAGCAGGATTAAGCCAATGTAACTTTCATTTCATTATGGATATTGACTAGTACCTCGACAGAACCACCTCCCTGCAGACATGAAGCACACACACAGCACTGGGAACACACGCAGCTCCATTACCGAACCCCCTCCCTGCAGAGATGAAGCACACACACAGCACTGGGACTGAGCCGCCATACAGCACACACAGCACTGCCACAGAGCCACCACCCCGTACACACGCAGCGCCACGACGGAGCCACCAAACACTAGTAGTGTTCACGCACGAACCACCGCGACAGAGCCGCCACCCCAAACAATCACAAG